TCATCTCCTGCCCCTCTTGCAGATCACTGATGCCAGCAATTCCCTCCTCTCAGGCCAAGCAGTGCTTCCAGGGACCAGCACATTCTTTTCTGCTGCATTTTAAATTAAAGGCACTGCTGGTGTGTTCTCTGATGACTCACATGTTGTGAAGGTTGCCAGATCCCAACCTCTCCCTTGTGAGAGAGCTGCCAGCCCCAGGAGAGGGAACCTGAGAAGAACACTTGGTGGAACACAGAAAGGAAAGCTGGTTTCTCAGCAATCTAGTAGGCAGCTCCCAGCTCTTGTATGATTTATCCAGTCGGCCATAAACTGCCTTAATCCAGACTTTCGTGACGTGGGGTTGGGATCAAAAGCTTGGGTCTAATTCTCCTCCCTGCTATTTTACTGATCGAGCTGCAGCGGGCCCAGCTCAGAGCGTGAATGTTCAGTGTTCTGCCCCACTGCTGGTTGAAAGGGGAGGCAAAGCCATCACTAATGCTCTTCTGGACCTCAAACTGAGAGCTCACGTCGAGCTGCCTGTACAGAGCAGCGCAGAGCCGAGCTCTGGGGCTGCTGTGCTACGGTGCTGCCGTTTATGATGTAGGCTGGGAGCGTGGGCTTGCCAGCTGGGGGAAATTAAGCTCCAGGCCCAAGGCTTTCTTCTGCTGTGGCTGTTATTAGTCTGGATTGCAGCATGCTGACATGGTTATCCTGCTTTTGGAAATGAGCTAGCTCGCCTGGAGCGCGGGTGGGAAAGTCTGCACGGCGCTGTGCGGTACCCTGCAGACCTCAGACGTGAGGGGTCAGGAGTCTTTGGTTGTTTACTTCCTTTCTAAATATAAATTCAAGCAGGGGGTTGGATGCTTTTGTGTTTGCAGTGCTGTTGCACACGGGTCAGCTTTACTAATAATGGTGGTGCTTAGTGTAAGTGAAAGCAGAAGGCTGGCTCGCTATGGTCCCTGCTCCAAAAACAGGAATGCATAAATTACAGTTGATTATTCCCCTGAGTTGTCATTATCAGTTAGCTCCCTCAGAAGAATCATGACAGAAATGGGTCATTAGAAGAATCCTGGAAAAACTGATTGCCTTTGCAGACGAGTTCTCCAGAGGTGTTTGATGGTTGATGGAGACAGAGCAGTCTGCACGAGGAGAGGTTTGCCCAACCCTCTGGAGTAAGAAGATGCAGCACTAGCCCAAAATGTGTCTGGCTTATTACAGCATTCCTTGATTTAGTGCTTTTCAACCTGATATTAAACGCTGAGATGTTGGTATTTTATGTATACATGAACATTGTGCAGTCCACTCATACCAGAGAGGCAAGATGAGTTGAGTAAAAATGCTCTGAATGCTGCAAGAACTTCTGTTCCAAAACCTGTACAGAAAGGAGAGCCTGGAAGATGCCCTGCTAAAATTGGTCTTGGCAAAATTAGACTTTGTTCTTGAATCTTCACAGACTTCAGTGTAACCATGGGCAAGCTGCAGTCTCAGACACTCCCAGATATTTAGAGGTCTCACTCTTTCTCATGTCAGTGAGATGGGTGCCTAAACAGAAGGTGAGCACTTAGGCATTTTGAAGAATGTCAGCCCTAATCGCTTTTCCTTTTGTGCTTGATGGAGGTGGCACAAAAGTAAACATTCTGAAGAGCACAGAGTGCTGCGACACACGGTAATGAGGCCATTACTGAACCTGAGCATGTAATTAGGTAGAAAATGTTTGCCTTCATAATGAATAGATACTCTTACATTCCTCAGTAAATCGTCAAGTTCATCCTTGCTGTAGCTCCACTAATTTCACTGTGTAACTGGGGATGGATTTTCTTTGGCAAAGTCAATAAGAGGGGAGAGATTTCCACCCCAGAGGACCAGACTGGATCACAAGAAAAGCTGTGTTTTCTGATGAGATACCTAAAAAGATGCTGCAAAGAGCACAACGCAGGAAGGGAAAACTAGAATCTTAAAATTTAGTTAGTGAAGCAGAATAACAGCTCAGCCTCGTATGTACCAAATCTGCAAAGCAAATTTCAGATGCTAAATATATGATCCACACCTACTCTTTTATTTCTGTTCAGGCAAGCTCGATTTTTTTGGCTGGTAAAATACACCCAGTGGAATAAACTTGAGGAGAATTAGCCTGATTTAGTTGTCACTTGCTCTGGTTTTGTGCCTGTGTTTTCCTGGGGGTGAACAGGGCTCCTGATATTAGCTCTGCCTTGAGCACAGTCTCCTTCCAGCCTGATCAGATGATACATGCAGAATCCTCACCCACCTTACTACTGGGGTCTTGGTGCAGAATTATGTAGAAATCTGAGGTATATTAAAGAAAAAGCCAAGTTTTCTGACTTTAACTCATTGGTGGTGGTTTTTTTTTCCGTCAAAACCAGCTGTGTTATCCCTCACTTGAGAAAGTTGAAGCTTCAGTGAGTGATGTGACATCCCAGAGTTTATGACTGTAGGACACTCATCGGTTCATTGCCTGCAAAATTAACTGGGACATGCTGAAACAGTATCCCATGAGGTGCTTTAGCTGCGGCACTTCCTTTAGTGTTAACACCTAAATCATCTGTAATGGTATCACTGTCTGCTGGATCACTGCTGAATTATGGCATCTGCTTTTTGGATTATGAATTGGTTGATTCCTCTGGGCACTGTTCAGATGAATGTGCCTGAAGTTAGGTGTGATGAATCCCACCTGAGCTGCCAGTATTGGTGAAAGTGAGAAGGAAGTATGACAGCAAGGGATACTAAAAGACATTAGACCTCAGTGCTTTTCCTGTCTTCTTAGAAAAAGAGATGCAGGCATGTGTGGGACATCTGTCCCTAAAATAGCATAGGAAGGTAATGCTGGGTTGGTTGTGAAAAGAAAGAAAATTTAAGAAAATTTTTGAAGTTCAATCAGAGAATTGTACTAATTACCTGCTTGTTTGTATTTAAAAATCAGCCTGGTGGAGTTCTTCCAAAATTTTGAAATCCCCTTCCCAGGGGAAAAAAAAAAAAAAAAAAAAAAAAAAAAAAAAAAAAAAGAAGAATACATTAAAAATATCCATAAAGCCCCTACTTATCTTTATTTTCAGGAGTTCCCTGCAGTCAAGACCAGCAGTCAGGACTTACACGTGAGGAATGCTTCAGTGCACATTTGTGGTTTGCCAGTGCCAAGTACAGTGATATCCTACAAATACTGTAGGAGTTGTGTCTGGTTTCACATTGAGTCAAGCTGGAACAGGGGGGCCTCTCTTGGGCTTTGTGTTCCTGATGGGCCTGAAGCTGTTACAGATTCCAGTCCCTCAACACAGAATATTACCGTGGAAATTAGTGCACCTTTCAATAAAGTGTTTTGTTTTATTTTTTTTTTCTTCCCAGATATAATCAGGAAATTAAATCAAAGCTTTTCCTTTCTGTGTGACAAGCTGGTTTTTGCTGGCAAGATCCTCTTCATCCCCAGTGTTATGCTGGGAGCCAAGCTGGCACCCCCAGCTAATGACTGGGCTGAACTTTCCCCACAGTAACTTGATAGCTGTACAGCTGTGCAGGCTCACAATTTGCTCCTTGACTGTCAGCCTCCTGACAGCTTTTTCAGTGGAACAGTTTGAGAGGAGCGGGAAGCCCTGCTTTGGAGACATGGAAGTGTTTTCACACCTGAAGTGTAATTTCACACCTTGTGTTGCTCAGTAGATAAGTGCGTAAAATAGCACATCAAACGGGAACAGAAGAGGATAGAAATGCTGCAGACAAGAGATGGAGGCTTGTTATTTATTTCCTATCTTCAGCACACTCTGAAATAATACTCACTTGCAGGAACCCGGGCACAGATTATGAAGAGGTTAGCAGAGGACTTGTCTAGCCAAGCAATCTGTCACTGTCATGTGCAGAGCAAGGTGAAAACTTACACTGAGCTGGGTCTGCGGAGCACCAGGAGCTCTGACACCACAGTATTAACAACCATGTAACAGAGGAGAACTGATTAATACAGTAGGCAGCAGGAATTTAAAGAGTAGATTTACAGGAGCACTAAATTGGACCATCCCTTCCTTGTATTTGCTAAGCATGTTTTACTCCTTGCATGGACTTAAACTGTAAATAAAATTGACCCACCAAAAAAGTAATTAGAGAATTTGGAAAAAAATATGAAACTATTATGGGAGATCAAATAATTTTACTGTTTATGCAGGTTTTTTTTCCCCTCCTTTTTAAGACCCTTATTTTTTGGTATCTCAAACAACAGATCATTGGGAGTGGTGGAAAGGCAAGGGCAGCTGAGGGAAGCCTGGGTAAGATAGCCCCAATGAAGTTTGATTTAGAGGGAGAGGAAGGGAAGGTGGAGGCACCATTTGAAGTGGACAATGCATGGAGATGCTCATAGTTTTGGTTAGACAGGTTTGCCAGGAATGGATACCTGATATCCTGTTCTTTCCAAGAGAGTGGTACAGATACACAGTTTGTGGGAATTGGGAGTGGGGCTGTGGCCCAGACTCATCCCCAGTGGGCCCAGCTGTGAGAAGCAGGTGAGCAGCACTGACAGCAATGAGCCACGGAGTGCCCAGGGGCACTGACCATCACCAAAGGGAACAGAGGGCACACAGGTGCACTGCATCAACATGGGGTATAAAAGGTTGGGCTAAAGAACATGAAAGAGCAGATGATTGCAGCCTTCTGAAGTGCTGTGGTGTTACTCTGTATGGGCAGATGCTCGAAGCCTTCTGAAATTGTATGGTGATGCTCTGTGTGCTATGGCTGTCCCAACTGTGATATATGCTGCAACAGAGTGGGGCTGAAACATGCATCAGTTTTCTTTTCTCCCCAGCTGAATATGAGAAAATCCAAGAGGTGCTTTCATCTTCTGCTTCTCATCCCATGGATTTTACCAAGGAGTGATATCCAGCCCTCATCTGCTATTCACTACAGACTAAACTGCTCTACTTGGATGGTTTTTGGGGGTGTTTTTTTGATGGCCTGGGACTTTTATTTAGCCTGTCACTTCCACGAAACGTGTCAATTCCTCTTTTTTTTTTTTTTTTTTGTCTTAGACACCTACGGAAAGCTCTGCCTGCGCAACTCTGTGGGTCAGGAGATGTCTCGCTGCAAGACCTCCATCCGCCGGGGACAGCCCAACCCCGTGTACAAGGAAACTTTCATCTTCCAGGTTGCCCTCTTCCAGCTCTCTGATGTCACCCTGCTGATCTCCATCTACAACAGGCGCAGCATGAAGCGCAGGGAGATGGTGGGTTGGATCTCCATGGGCCAGAGCAGCAGCGGGGAGGAGGAGCAGAGCCACTGGCAGGAAATGAGGGAGTCGCAGGGGACGCAGGTCTGCAGGTGGCACACGCTGCTGGAGTCCTAGTGGTGACCAGGGCAGCCAGCAGGTCCTGGGACAAAGGGCTGTCTCCCCCTGTTCTCTGGCAGGGCACTCAGCTTTAACCTGCCCGCTCAGTGTCAGCAGCTGTGGCTATCAAAGGTGGCAAGGCCTTGGAAAGCAAGATTAGTTCTTGCCTTTCCAGCTTGCCCTGCATTTTCTGCATCCACATAATCAACCCTAGTGAGATGCAGTGGGAATACCTGCAAAAACCTTTCCTCGGACTTTGTCTTGCTTATTTTTCTATCGGCTTAATCACCACAGGCTGATTCTGATGTGATGCTGTTTTCTTCTGGGGTAAACTCTCACTTCCCTCTTTTCCCTTGTTTATATTAATGAAGTTTGCAAATATTCTTGCCACGCAGATAGCTCACAGAAAAGCTAACCTGCATGCAGATCACATCCTCTCCCTTTTATTATTGTGTTTCTAAGTCCTAGAAATTAGCATTTGATACCACTGTAGACTGGATGATATATTTTTCAGGCAGCATGAGAAAGCACTCCTGAATTCTCTGTCAACTTTTAAGTGCCTAGACTTTACTACTGTTCTCCTGTACTAACAATTGATATAAGGACTAAATACTACTGGTATTTTTAATTAGGCACCCTGTGCACCTGTTAGCCTGCATTGACATAGGTTTGCACAAGAGATAACAAACATCAGTTTTATATTGCATTATACAATGCATGTTTAGATGTTTACTTGAAGTTATGGCTTCTGTCATCACAAATACCAAAAAAAAAACCAGAACAAACTGCACAGCCACCTTTGTGCCTGAATCACTCCTTTCTGCATCATTTTGCCCGTGTGTTAATGTGATTTTTAGAAGTAAGGCTCATTCTGTGAGCATTACAGGAGAGGGCCTTAGACCTGTGGTTTTTCTGTGATTCAACAAAGCACTGCTCTGTTTGCTGAGGGCTCTTCTTCAAATCTCCTGTAATATCTCCTTGGGATATGGAAGGGGACTGTTTTTGGCATGCTTAACAGTAGAGGATGCCAGACCATGTCACCTAACCTTGGTAAGGAGCTCTCTTGCAGGCCAGGAATAGGATCCAGAGGGGCTGCTGGCTCTGCTAAACTAGCACTGGAGAAAAGAATTGTGCTTCCTGCCTCCAACTGAAAGCAATGCAAGGAGCAGCCTTGCTGGATGAGGTGATGACACTGTCACATGGTTACTTTTCAGTCTACACTGTCCTTTTCCACTTTAATCTCTTTTCCTGTCTCTGTGAGCTGAAGTCATGGAGATGATGGATAGAGGATGTGTCTCAGTCTGCTGCTTGGCTAAGTGGTTGTTGTAGTGCTGTGTATGACACAAAGGAGTATGTTCCTCCTCAGTGGAATGTAGTCAGTGAGGTGCTGAGATCTCCAAATGCTATCAGCTGCCCAATCTCCCATTCTCCACACTCTCAAGGAGAGGACTGTCTTTTCTCCCTTCCTGCTGATGATAGCAAGACACAGGAAATATTTTGCTGAAGAGGTATGTCTGTCCTGAATCACTTCATAGTTTGTTTTTGCCATTTCCAGAGACCTGGCACCAAATTCTGCCTCCTCCTGCCTCACAGCCACTTCCTTTGCTTCAATGGTGCTGTGCAAATCTAACTAATGCAAACTTTGGCGCTGGCTGTTTGACCAAAATTGGTCCTTGGTGCTGGTTTTTGTCACATCCAGGCTAGACAGGCCCCGAGGGCACTGCTGTGACTCTCACAGGTTATCACTTGGTGTCACAGAGGCTCTGCCTGTCCCCGGGAGGCAGACAGAATAATCTGCACAGAGAAGCACTGCTGGTACAGGTGATACAAGTTATTCTACAGACCACACTCTTGTACCTTCTTATCACCTGTCTGAGCATCATTTTTCCAGGGAAACTGGTGGGTATCCTCTGCAGGAGGGTTTTTCTCCTCTGTCTAGATAAGCTGGCATGTCTGCTTTGCACTACTGGGGCTTTGGAACACAAACCAGGGTGTAACCCAAATGCAGCTTATCCAACAGATATGTTCTTGACTGCACTGCTAAAGCTGCTGTGTTACCAATGCAAGAAAAAGTGAACAACTGAGTGGTAACCAGCAGAATAGAATTTCATTTATCATACACTTTTCTGCTGGAAAAAAAAAAGAAAAAAAAAAAAAAGAAAAAAAAAAGTAGAGAAAACAGCCCAAATCAAAAGATGCATTTGCTTATTCTAGTTGTTTTCCAACCTCTCCATCTTTTTTCCTGAACTGCATAAATTGTGTATGCAAGTGTTTATAATTAATTTTATTACCTGGAATGTGTGGGTGTAATAAACTTACTGAGATTTTCTTCAGAACTTCTTGAACCTGCAAAGCCTTGCCTATGCTTCATGATTAGCTAAAGAAAAAATATAAGTTCAAAATACATTTCAGCAATGAACTGGAGCTAACCCAGATTTATAACAGCATGATTTAAAAAAAATTAATGAAAAAGATAATTAAAAAAAAAACAATGAAGTACACTGGGTTTGGACTTCCATGCTGTTTTCACATTAAGATCTTTTCTGAAGATATGGCATTAAGGGAATTGTATTTTAATATATAATTTCATTGTAGAGTTTTTGAAGTCAGAGAACAGCAAGTGAAAATGGCTTAGAGTAAGTCAATACCTAAGCACATGTTAAAGCTTTGCTGTCCAAGGGAAGCAGGTTGTTCCATCCTTGCTGCCACATTTTGCCCTTGTATTTTGTCAGAAAATGTTGGAGAGAGGGGGCAAGGACCATGACAGGGGGGCCATTGGGTTTTTAGAGCTACTGTGAAAACTCTTGGCACATCCATGCCTTGAGAGGTACTTTTGTGGGGTCATTTGTGTTCCCACTAAAGCAATGGAAAAAATCAGGAATCTCGGGATGAACAAGGTGCTGGGGGTACTCGTGTTTGTTAGCTATATTTTGGGATTTTTATTGCTTTTGTGGTTTATTTTTCCTTCCATTATTGACTGTCTGTGAAATGGAGGCTTTGCAGCAGCTCTGGCATATCCCAAAGCTCCTGCAAATTCTTGCCATTGACAGACTGAATTAGTCATTGCTAATATTGATACAGGCTGGGCTTGTGCCCATGGTCTTTCTTATGTAAACACCACTGCCCTTTTAGTCACTGCTTTAGCCCCTTGTTTCTTTTGGAAGTGGCTGACAAGACTGAATTTCCAGGAAGTTTTGCATTCCTTGGGAATCCTGACTCTCACTTGACTCATGGATGGCTGGAAGACCCTGTGCTCCCCTGGCCTTCTCCACGTAGATGCTGATGCTCTCTGCTTCTCTGGGGCTCCAGGTGGGGAGAACAGCTGTGAGAAGGCCTTGGGGATTTCAGGGAGCAGGATAGGAATGGACAACCTGATTCTGGCATGCTTGGGAACTTACAGATCTAGGTTATGGATCTTTCCTAATGCACTCATGTTTTCTAAGACAAATCATTCCCTTTTGACATCACTGTTTGTAATCTCTTTATAGTTTATTAGAATTTTCTTGAAAACAAACAAAAAAAAGGCCTGAAAATGTGGAAAGGTATTAACTGCATTGGCCCAGAGTATTATGGGCAAGTGCCCTGGATACATCCCTGTATTTTGAACAGCATTGTTCAGCTGATTGCAGTTTGTTCTTTCCTTGTTCTCTCCCCAGCCACCATGCCCCGGTCCTGCCAAGCTCTCTGCTGCTATTTTATTTTTTTCATTTTTCAGTGTTTATTGACAACAGAACAGAGTGATCTCACCGTGTTTATACTCCCCATAATAACGGTGATCTTCAGCTGATGCCCACAGAAACCATTTCCTTTTTTAGCCCACTGAGCTGCAGCAGTCGCTCACTGAAGTGCCCATTTGCAAAGGCTTTATCTGGATGATCTTCCACATCCTTTGATTTGTCTGGGTTTCCTTTTTGCTAGTGTCTTTAATTAGCTGGACCCTGCTGTGGCCTGCTTGCTCTGCCTTGTCTGCCTTTCCCTCCAGGGGCAATGTGTGCTGTGCAGCTCCTGGGTAGGTGGACAATGCTTGGGTGTATTTTTAGCAGCTGCAGATCCCGAGGAGTTATTTGGTGCTTTACATAGCTGACTGATCTTCAGTCATGGATGGCGTTAGAAGTTCCTGGATGCACAGATCCAAAGGCTGCCAGCTCCTATTGATCATTTTCCCAGCATAAAGCTGAAGGTGGCAGCTTGGCAGAGGAGCAGGCTTTTCCTCTGGTGGCAGATCATTTTCCCCTTCAGCTGGAGCTGGCAGTGACCTTGGAGCTGGCGCGCCTGCAGTGCTTGCTTTCTGCTCCCATATTTATCATCATTTTTAATCTGTGTGATCACAGCACTTCATCTCTCTGCCTCCCTCTCTCATCTCTCCTGCCTTCTGCCCTTCAGCATGAAAAGTGGACTGAAAGGCTGAGCAAAGACTATGGCCTTCTCCATCGTATTATCCCCTCCCAGAGGGGTCATCTCAAAGTTGTGATGCTCCTAATCAAGACCTTGCCTCCCTGCTCTCTTGTCCACTTGTGGAGTTTGAAGTTTGTTGGTTGGGCTGTGATACATAAATATTTACAGAGTGACACCCATTCACCTCGATGTGGACCAAGTTAATGACAGAAGAAACAGCCTGGTTTGTATTTGCTTTCTTCCTTTTCCCATGGGCATTGTGTTCTGCAAAAGGACAACTGAGCCTGCAGGAATTAGTATGCAGGAACATCCTCTTTCCATTTAAAATGTGCTAAGTGTGATGTTTGCAGCTATGCTTTGAGGGGAAGAAACAAAGCAGCCAGGGTTTGTAGAGCAGCTCACACTTTGAGGCAGGTTTTTCCCTCCAGCATGTGATACCCCAACAAATACAATCTGATATCCCAGGAAGCAGTGCTGGCTCTGAGCTCATCTGCTTCTGTGATACAAACAGCCAGAAGCTGACAGATCCTAAAGCTTGGAAAGGCATCCAAGATAATTCCACAGAGCTGGTCTGGGTGTTTATTTGGGATCTGGTGAGGATTTAACAAGCTGTCATGCAAGAAATGAAAACCCCAGGCAGTGGTGGGAAGGTGGTGGTGGGGGAGAGAGGCAGGAGAGGAAGGCTCTTGGTGTGCTTGTGCTGCTGTAGATCTGGGAATTTGCTCACTCCTTACTCCAGAAAGCAGCACAGCCAGGCTGCAGTGGCATCAAGCCTGAGCTGAAACCCAGTTTCTCTGCATGACTTTTGAGCTCCAAATTTGCTGAAGGCATACAGCTTTTTTATTCAGTGCAGAGTGAGCTTGTGTCTTCCTGCAGCCTACACTATGGGCCCTAAGAAATGAATGTGTAAATATTTTGTCTCTCACAGCAGCCCAAGGTCATCTTTCTGGAACAGCAAACAGGCACAGAATCCAAAGAAGATCAGTCTGTCATATGAGTAAGGTTAGCATCTGCACTTACAAATGACAAAGGCTATTAATCCTCATGCTGTAATCCCCAAGCTGTTTGCCAGCTGGCAGCAGGAAGATGCTCCTGCTCAACCCACACAGCTATCCATGTTTTTTCACCTTTGTAAAGCAGATATAGGTCAATACTGTAGCCTCAATAAAATACTTGGCATATGCCATTCATCTCTTTTGGCATTACAATCCCTCTCTTCTCCACACAAACCCTCTATACTAATGAAGGGGTAAGAGGAGAGCTCTTACCTGGGCTTGGCTCTCTCTGTGCTCCCCCAAAACAGAAGGCTGAAGGTGAGGTTTTTCTCCCTCTTCTCTGCTCCTGAGTTTTTCTGGGTGGATGAATTTTGTGATCTCTCTGCAAAGCTGAACAACCTTAGCAAAGCTCTGTCAGCAGACAAGTCTTTACACCTAGAGCGGGGAAAACCTAATTCTCGCCTAAGGCACAAAAAAATTCCAGTGATGGGACTTTTTTTGGTCTTAATTTGAGAACCTGCATGGTATTAGTCTATTGTCTATCACAGGAGCATAAACCCCTGAATCCTCTGAGGTGTCAGTGGTGGAGCAGAAGGAAGACTGCAGGTAGTGATGCAGGTAGGCTGTTATAGTCTGATCTCACCCACCAAAAACCTGTATGGTCACTGAGTTGCTCCTAGCAAGTATTAGGCAGCTGAGGCTGGAAAAGCTGAGGAAGAAACACAAAAGCCAGATGGGAGCTGTGAAACTCCATTCGTATATGTTACTTGCTCATCTCTCAAGGAAATTGGAAAGTAATTTTTTTTTTTTTTTTCTGTAAGAGAAATCACAGCTGCTTTGGCAGCTGCAGGTGTGAGGAGCTAAGGATGTTTCCTCTTTGCTTTTTATTTCCTCTGGCTGTAGTGGGGGACATCAAATAGACACCAAACACTCTGGAAATGTTTCTCCCCTGTGTCATTCCCACTGTGGGCTGGTATTACTAAGAAACAAGAGACAAAAAGCTGATATTGGCCGTGGGTGAAGAACAAAGGTTCAGGGTTCCCACAAAAGCAGGATTTTTTCCTGAGCCCTACAATCATTTATTAGCTGTAACCTTCAGGGAAGGTGCTTCATCATGCCAAATACTTGCCTCTCCCTTCATTTCTCTTAGGGTAACATTGCAAATTTCTCTCTTCATTAGCAAACAGGAAAAAAAATTGCCAGCTTTCACCATACCCGTTATGTCTTGTTAGCACTTTCCAGGTGTTTTTCCTTCATGCTGTCTCCACCATTGCATTTCCCATCCTCTCATTAATATCTACAGAGGTCTGGTCCAAGGCAGGTCAGTGCCTGGTAGCAATATTTTATGTTCATGGTGCTCAGAATAAAACCTGTCCTCCAATCCCTTGTCACTCTGTGACACCTCAAGCACAAGTTTTCCAATTAAACTGGTACTACATCTCTCCTGTATTCCTCTGCTGGCATTGCTGTGGTTTGTGTCTTGCTGGGCTTTATCCTCAGCTGTTACTTCATTGACTTTTTTCCCAGCAGAGAGTTTTGTTTGTCAAGAAGAGTAAATGAAGTAATCATTTGGTAGACTTAGCATTTAAATACTGCGTGACATTTATATGTGTGTGTATATATAAAAAATGGTTTTTATGGCAGAGTGCCGCGGGGCATTTGCATGAAGCACATCTCAATGTATATTTGACTGTTGATTTAAATACACGGTATGTAATAAGTTATTTTTAGTGTGTATTGACTTCTTTCTATATTGGAACAATATACCATCCCTGGCAGGGTTTTGTTGTCTCTGTTGTGGGCACAGTTGGACACTGGAGACGCTGAGGTGTGACCTTGTCCTATTTCCTCCTTATTTTCCATGAGGTGGGAGTTGCTCCCCTCAGGAGCTTTGTGGGTGGACAGAGGTTGCTCCTGGGTTTTTTTTTTTTTTTTTTGCCACAGGACAGTGTTGTGAGCCTCCTACTGCATCTCCCTCCTGGTGCTTAGTGGAACATTTCATATTCTCCTTTCCCTGCTGTCATCTCCTCAGCACAGAGAGCTGCTTGGTGTTTGGAGTGATTCAGCCCCGTGGCTGAGGGAGCACCAGGAGCAATGGAGATCTCAGCTCCCCTTTCCCAGCCTGAGATCACAGAACCACAGAATGCTTTGGGCTGGAAGGGACCTTAAAGACCATCTCATTCCATCCCCCTGCCATGTGCAACCTCCCACTAGACCAGGTTCCTCAGAGCCCCATCCAACCTGGCCTTGAACACTTCCACAACCACTCTGGACAAGCACAAAATTTATCTATGAATTGTTTACTTTAAGAAATAACAATACAAGCAAATTAATAAAAATGCCACATCCTTAACTTCTGTTGTTGCAAAGGCAAGTCTTCTAGAGCTTGCATTTATTGATGAATTATTTTTATGGTAAATAAATCTATAAAGGGAGAACTTTTCCTACTGTGAAAATTATAAAAAACAAATTTATATGTCCTTTTCACTTTTGTAAAGTTCAAAGATTTGCACTGAAAATTGTACCTTGAATCTAGTTACTGAATGGTTGGTATTGACTAGTGAGGGGCCACTGTGAGCATTGTTTCACTTGCTGGGTATGTGATTGAAAGAGATATCTGCAGTGCAAAACTGTGATAAAAAATGAAAAGTACAAGGAAAAGATGTTTAGATATTCAACTGGAAATCTGGTATGGGTTTATTCTTAGCTTTTCATGTATTTGACAATGAAACATTTTTTATTTTACTTAAGTGCTAACGTGCATGATCATACAATATATTGCCTCTTGCTAATTATATGCTGCGTTAGGAATACTAATGTCTAGATGATATCTGACTGGAAAAAAAAATCAGCATTAAACCCAGCTTCTGCAGAATTCTGGGCTGAAACTACCCCTGCACACACACAGCTGTCCACACCTTAGAAACAGTCTTATTTTGTTATGGAGAATGCTGCTGTTACAGGTTTATCAATAAAATAGAAGCAGATGGCTCATGTAGACATGCAAACCCAGCCTATCTTCCTTTTTGTTCTGGCTGTGGCAGAACGGAGTGAATATTCATCCAGGAGAGATGTTCTTTGTTCAGAGCAGGGCTGCAGGTGCCTGGTGCATAATGCAGGACTGGGAGGAATGGGAAGTGTCTGCCCTGCCCTTGGTCCCCTGTCCAGCCACATGGACACAGGGACCCTCTGGCAGCAGGCTGGGGCGTTTCAGGGGCTGAAGAGATTCCCATGTCCCACTGATGCCTTGGAGTGGCTATCTGAAACAGAGGCTAGACAAAATTAAGAGAATAAAATTGGGTATTTATTGAAGGCCTTCACTAGGGACACCTTGGGCAGTCAAAGCCTCTGAGGGGCTACACCCAAGATGGAAATAAGTCACAAGATTTTCATACAGTTACAAGTTCGGTCTATTTACATATCAGGGGTTAATTCTCCATTTACAGTTTCAGGTAATGAAGTGATTTACTCCAAGTTTGCCCCCCAATTCACTGTTATTTGCATCTCTCAGGTCTGAGACAATGAGGTGTCCTTGAGTTTCAGGCCTAGAGAGGAATTGTTTGTCTGAACAAAAGGGGAGAACAGCAGCTGACAGGCTATGGAGTTTTAGAGTTACACACTAAAGCAGTACAGGACCTGAAAAATAGAAAAGCTAAATCCTAAAGCATCACCCTCATGTCTCTGCTTCCCTCTGCACAGAGCCATCCAGCCAACTCTGTGTGGGGAAGGAAAAGTGCTGGCTGTGCCTTTGACATCTGTCCTTCCCTGCTGTCTCATCCAGCCCTGGCAGGAGGTGGGAGAGAAGCCCCCCAGCCCCCTCTGTGGTGGGACCCTGGCTTCAGCAGTTCTCCTGCACACCAGTGATGTGGTGGCACACGGAGCCAGTGCCACCAGTGTCCCTGCTGTCTGCAGACACCAGCCTGGGATGCCCCCATCAAAGTTGGGGTGGCCACTTGGTGGAAACAAAGGTAAGAGCTCTAATGATGAGGTGGAGAGGTGAAATTAGGCCAACAAAGGGTGTGTCTGTGTCTGGTGGCTGCTTTTGTTTGCATCCACCTTTGGTCATGACGTATTTGTGAGTGGTTTACTTCTGGCAGGTTGCAGTTGTAATTGCTGCCCACATTAAGATGGAGAACGATAGAAGCTAAAAAAATTCCCAGATTGGAATTTTGACTTTGAACTGGGGTTAGTTTGCTCCTCTCAGAATAGCAGTGCCAGATTTGAGGGAGACATGAGAAACCACAATTTCTGCAGCCCTGCTGGCACCCACAGGGTTGGCTTTCCAGGACCAGCCCTGAAATAGAGTTTCTTTTTCTGGCAGTGGTGGCTTCAGTGCTTGGAAACCTCAGAAAAGGCAGTTGATACAAGACATGTCTGAGGACACAGCAAACCCAGCCCAGGGGGCCATCTTAAAGACAGTGGAGAAATGGGATATGCTGGGAGGTTCAGAGAAAAACGAGGGAGTTTGGAAAAACTCCCCCACCTTGGTGTAAACTAGGGGTGAAATACATGTTTTGCTAAGGGCTGATGTTTGTGGGTGACCTGCCTCAGCTGGCAGGGCTGCAGGGTGGGCTGGGGTTTGCTCTGGGTGGCAGCAGTCCCCCAGCAGCTCCTCCAGGCACAGAAGGGGGTCTGCAGAGCCAGGCACTGCCTGCTCAGGGATTTGGGAGCTCAGGTGGGTGCCAGGGCAGCATTTTCCTGGCTCGGTTACCCTAACACTGTTTCACCCCGTGCAATTTCTGAAAACCAGTTCAAATTCTCCTTGCCCAACCAAGCAGCCTCAGCTCCCCCACCAAGTCACCCTTCTCCTCCCCAGCCCCCGGTGCCGAGGGATGCCGGTGATGGCTCTGGGGGACTTGGGCACTGCTGGGAGCATCACACTTGCTCTGCTGTTCCTACAGCATCATCCTGGCCTTGTGGGAGTGTCCTCAGCCTCAGGTGGGTTTTCCCAGGTTGATTCAGGGCTAACCAGCCCAAGGTTTGTTCCATTCCTGCAGGCAGGCTTGCCTGTGACCCCGTGTGAGCTCAGCACACTCCACCATGGAGCTGCTGCCCTGAACTCGGGCAGAGGCCACGGGGCCATCGGTCTTGGTGCCAGCACTTGGTCAGCTTGGCCCAGATGAGTCTGCCCATGGATTTGGTAGTAAAAACTCAGGTTTGTGCTCATGCAAATGCAAGGGTTTAGCACTCCACTTGCTGCTCCTGCTGGGACACCACTGCTCAGCACGAGCACGTGTGGGCCCCGCCGGGCTCCTGGCTGGGTTATGTTTTATCGTTCTGATTATCCTGTCCTTCCTCCAGCTGCATTTTAATTCTTTAGAATGACTTCATCCCTTGGCAAAGCACCAAGTGCTGCTTTGTCAAGGCATCTTTTTTTTTTTTTTCATCCTAATTTTGACCACTTGGAAAAGTCACATTTTTAATGTCAGGAAACTAAGTTTTGAATTTCAGTGAAAGAGTGATATCATTTTTCACGAGAGGGTGAAAGCATTCCCACTTCTCAATCAGCTCAGTGGAGGCTAAAGCTGAGCTGTCTGCCATCTGTCTCCTCGCCAGTCTCTCTTCCACCACCATCACTTTTTAACAGGTTGGCCAATTTCAATCACATTTGAGAGCAGGGTAGCTGTCTCAAAGACAGTTATGCTTCTACAGATTTTGTCAGCTGGCAGAGGATCATTTCCAGAGAAGCAGAAAGGAGTGGGTTTGATGGCCAAGGGTTGGTGAGCTGGTCCATTGTGACAGCTCCAGCATGTGCTGCCTCTGGTCAAGCTGGGGGTGTCCAAGGGGACATGGTGGAATTTGGCTGGGGATGTGGGGAGAGCGTAGGGAGTAAAGAGCACAGATATGTAAGAAAATGAACTTCATTTTTTCTTCTCTTCCCCAGCTTGTTTCAGAAGGTTTTAAAGAGTTTTTCTCAAATGTAAAAAAAAAAATAAATTAAAATAACAACAAATTTTCTTGTATAATGAATTGGAAGATAGAGGTGAAAAATAGTATTCTAGTACAGAAAGAGAAAGATCTGTCTGCATTTTAGATGGAGGTAGGATTAGCCTCTGAAGGCATCTGGTCCCTCTGAGGCTGGCCAACCACTGGGAGGCTTGAACAGGGTCCAGAAACTGGAGCTACTCATCTTCATTTGCTGTGACAAGCCAATGGCTGGGAGAGCTTTTGACAGTCTGTATCTGCTGGAGGCAGCTGAGTGGGCCAGGCTGAGGATAAAACCTAGCCCAGGATGCAGCTCCTCACATCTGAAACTTCTCAGGTACAAATGCAGAACATTTTGGGTTCATTTTATTTTTTGAAAATACCTGCTGCATGCTGTGTTTAGAAATGCAGCACCTGTGGAGGTATATGCAGCCTGGGAGGGCTGGTGCTTTTCTACACACATCTTTTGAATGTGCTTGAATTCAAAAGGGCACAATAATTTAATTCATTTTTCTTTAACACTTGATTTGAGGAGACATAACAGCTTTGGAATGAAGGAACTGATTTTTTTTTTTTCTAATTCTGTGAGATAGTTAAAGTAAATGCTAATATTCTGGGGTTTTATATTTCCAATTGCTCTAAACCGTTCAAAACCACATATTTGTTACAGCACTGAATATGTCAGGCAATCCTGCTTTCAAAAAACTAAAATAAAAGGGAAAAGCTGCTCTTCTATTGTCTGCCTGTCCAGGCTTTATCTTTTGCAGAACACATTTAAAATCTTATCTTCTCAAATAATATCCCTGTCAATAGAGACTTTGGTCTGTTTAATTTCTGCTGCACTGAAACACTGTGTGAGTCAGCTGGGCAGTGATTCCTGACCAGGCATCCCTGGCAGAGGGGAAAACTCCTCTCCAGACAAGGAGGGGAGGTGATTTCTCCTGCTTCCATGGCAGGAGGAAGGAGATGGGATGGGGTGAGATGGAACATCTTCTCTCCTTCCTGATGGAGGTCCCTTTGAGCCAGCAGAGCAGTGCTGGTTACACTGGCAGGGGAATCTGCTTCCCTGCACTTCTGCCCCCTTGGAAGGTGGGCAAAGAAAAGCAGCTACACTTGGATTGTGGAAGAATTTCCTCAGAGCTGATTAGGGGATGGAAACACTTCTTGGATCCAGCTGAGGAAACACAGCTGATCTTTTGGCTGTATATATAATTGCCTGCTACTAAGTCCTGCTTTTGTGCTGACAGGAGAGGGGAAGATGTGTCTTTGCAGCAGAAATTGTCTTGATTGTTAGGAAAAAATAGAGTAAATTTCACAGAGACTGGCGTGAGTGATGCTGTCATTCATTCAGCTTTTAGGCATGGAGTAGGTGCTTCTGTGTCTTCCTTTTCTATCTCTGCTTATAGAAGGGATATTACTGAATTAATTATGACATCTTTGTGAAGAGCTGAAGAATTGCTCAAGTCCTCGATTCAGCAGTAGAGAAATGTCAGATTCACCTCACAGTAAATTTAAAATTACACCAACCTGAACTACTGCTACTGACAGCATAATAATAAGGCAGGTAATCAAAATCAATTAAATCCTAGTGCCTTCCTATTGTCCTAGAAAATTCAAATCTGAAATTAGTTGGAGTTTCATTTGACTTCTCAATAAAAGAAGCAGAGCTTCAGAGATAATTTGAAGTAAACATGTGGCCATGAATGATCTTTTCTCAAGCTGCAAAGACCAGGGGAGCCATGTGTGCCCATGTTTGTACAGACTGAGCACCAAATGCAGCCAGGTGATCCAAGTCAAGGGAATAACTGATCTGAGGCTGCTGCACTGACATGTGCTAGCTGAGTCTCAGGCTTGCCAAGACCCAGTTTGTTAAAATTTTAGAGAGATACTGATCCAGGTGGATGCCAAAAGCAGTGTGCCTCCATTCCCCCTGCCTAAGAGGGAAGAGGACAAAGCCTGGTGCAAAATCCTCTGTAGAATCTTCATGGAGCAACCAGAGGGAGGGGAACTCCCTGTGTCCTTCCAGCAGTGACATGACCAGGTAAAATATTCATTAGACATCTTACAGATCACAGGGGAGCAGGGAATTGCCCAGGATCTTCAAATGCTGTTAAAATGAGTATGTTCCCACTGCACTTTGCTTTGTTTTTGGCACTGTCTGAGCCTTTGATTCACCTTTAGTATCAGTGGGAGATGGCAGTAGTTGTTTTGGAAGTGTTTGAGGTAAGGCTGGATGGGGATTTGAGCAACGTGGTGTAATGGGAAGAGTCCCTACCCATGGCAGGGGGTGGAACAAGATGATCTTTAAGGTTCCTTCCAAAACCATTCTGAAATTCTCTGGGCTGGACTGAGTGACTGCTTGGATAGGGAGGCTGTGGCATGAACGTGAGTCTGTCACAGTGGTGTCATCCATGGTAGCTGTGAGGAAATGGACACAGCTGGCAAGTGCAGAGGCAAATTTATTGTCCAGTGATGTTTCTTCTTGCAGAAAAGTCCTGATCAAAGCCCAGGCTTGGTGCTGGGGCTGATCTATGCCAGTGCTGTACCAGTAACTCCAGTGCAGCCATTGGCACCATTTGGCTCATCTTGTGCAACTTCTTTTCACTCTGGGAATGACCCATTTCTTCCAGAGAAGGTCCCTACACATAGCTGGTGTATTAAAAAAAAAAAAAAACAAAAACAAAAAAAAAACCACACTTTTTTTTTTACCTTCCTATCTGCCAGTATTTACATACAGATCTGGGCTTTCAGGAAAAGGAACTTCCCCTCTTTTTGCACACTGTATTATACAGGTAGGATTTTGCTGACTCCTTTTGAGCTTTTTCTGGGCCTTTCTGGGTGGACACTTAGTTGTGAGGGTAGGCTGAGCCTGCTGTCCCACCTATTGCTCTAAGGAGTGTGCTCAGCAGTAAAATCTGACTGAGATGCAGGAGCTGTCCTATCCCACAGTGACCTGCTCTTTCATTTGAGAGGAGGTCTGGGTTGTATTGCTGTGCAGCTTTTTTCCCTACAGCAATCCAATTCCTGGCCATGGCATCATGAGTGTAAGTGCCAGGGTGGGAACCAGGGCACTGTGGTGGAACATCTCAGGGGGAAAAGTGAGCCAGGATCTGATGGTGGGCATGGAGGGAAAAGGGAAAATCATAAATCAGGAGGGAAGAGGAGCATGACCCAGTAAGAGAGCAGGAGAGCTCGGCTTTCTGCCAGCAGGACCGAATTGGACTCCTCTCCCTCAGCCCTTCCAGGCACTGGGTTTGTTTCTCCCAGTCTTGCCCTGCAGCGAGCAGAGCTCTCTCCCTCTCTGAGAGAGAGACTGAGCCGGCCCGCTCCGCGCATCCCTCAGTCCGCCCTGACGGGAGGTTTTATGGTCCCCCTTGCCCACCCCCTCCCCAGGCTGCTCCCCCCTCCCTGTTCTGGCGTTTCACGTCCCCATCCTCCGCCGCAAGCCCCAGGCAGCTCCTCACCGCCTGTCCAGCTCTGAGCCGCGGCACCCGCTCCATCCTCCGGCTCCCCCGGCACGGCACGGCCCGGCGCGGAGCATCCCGGTGGCGGGACCTGCTCCTCCTCCTCCTCCTCCTCCTCCCTCCCTCCCTCCCCGCGGCCTCGAGTCGCGCCAGTGATGGAGAGAGCGTCACGGTCTCCTAGCAGCGCTCCTAGCAACGCTCCTAGCAACCGGCCAACATCTGCTCCCGCTGGACCAATCCGCGCGGGGAACATCTGGGCACCCACCTCCGCGGGCTGCGGCCGGGAGGTGATGCGCTCCTCAGTGGCTGCAGGGACCCGCAGGAGCTGCCACCGCCACCAGCAGCACCGCCGCCACCTCCTCCAGGAGCAGCGAGGGAAGGACGGAGCAGCCTGGGTGAGGCTCGCCGGGTGAGTGCCACCGAGCCGGCACAGCGAGCTGTGCGGTTGTCCGTGTCAGCGAGGTGGTTGTGGGGTTTTGCCGCTGGGATCTGCTCCAAAAGGGTTTAGCAGGTGGCTGGTGGCGTGGAGGAAGTTTTGCGGTTGTTTGGGAGCTCTCGTGGCTTTGCTGCAGCGTGGGAGAGGGAAGAGCCGAGAGGGAGGATCCGTCCCGCAGTGCCACGGGCAGAGGTGCTGCTGCTCTGCCGGACTCTGCGAAAGGTCATTTCAATCAGAGTCCTCTTTTTACGGTCAGAGCTGAACTCTGAAAAGTAACCACAGCTCCTCTTTCCATCGCCTGGTAATGCTGTCATCCTCTGGGATGACACAACTGTCTAAATTTAGTTGTCTTATAGCTGCGAGACACGAGTACGCACACACACGAGCTCTCTTTTCCTTTCTCTCTTGCAGGATTTAGGCATGTCTAATTTCGTTCATGTACTCAAAAAGTCTGAGTGTCTCTGGCACACGCATGTAAAAGTGCAGAGTTTAGGTATACACATGTATCTGTGATCGTATTTCCCCATGAGAGCGGGAGATGTTCTTACTACAGCGTGCCAAATGCTTCACCCGGAAGGCAAATGGAAAACGTTCATCAGGCAAACTCTGAAATGTGCACCCTGTTAAAGAGAAATGGGAACCTGACTGTCCCCAGACCTGTACTGTTCTGCAGGCAGTGTGAGAGTGTATGATAGAAAATTAATGCTGCTACTCAAAATAATGGCATGATTTTAATAGCAGCCCTTTAGCTTTCCTCTGAGGTTGACAAGAATTAATGGAGAAAATAATGTGCCATTTTAAGAGGTGATTGGGGCAGAATTAATGTTCTAGCTCCAGAAACATCCGGATATTTAGAGGAGCAAGCTGTATTTTTGCATCATTTGCTCTGAGAGGATTATAGTTACACCACTGAGAGCCTGAATTTTTTTTTTTCCCTTAATGTTTTATCTACTTTCCTGATGTGTGAAAGGGACTCCAGGAAGCAAGGTCAAAGTTAGAGAATTGGGTGTAACATCAGAACTCTTATTTATCCCTGTTACTAAGCCCTGTGGGGATGCTGAAATAGCACTTTCTCCTCTTGTGGTCCAGCTGCTCGCTGTGTTTGTCCTGACTTTGCCACCTGAGCCATGTGTGTTTCTCCTTGATCCACCACGGCAGGTGACCGTTCAGCAGTGCCGTGCTGCCAGAAATGCTCGCTGAGCCCGTGCGAGGGGGAAATCTTACCAGAACTGCTGAGATTACCCCAGAAAGACCCTTTGCAGACTGACTCCGCATCCTCAGGTAACTAACAAGTTTGCAAACTTCAGCTGGTTGGGCCGAGTGGGGGAATTTACTGGGATTAATGTGGAAAGGGAGTGAAGCTGGAATTATTTTGTTATTCTGTTGGGGAAAGCAGTGGGACTCTAAGGAGGGAGACAGGAATAGTCACTCAGCCATTAAGTCTCATGCCTTCATGCCCTCACGAGAGCTATTCAGACGCTTGTGCCTTGTATACAAGTGTGTGCCCAGGGAGAATCTGCAATTAGGGAGATCTGCAGAGCAATCAGCAAGCTAAAAGGCGGTTTTCAAGTGCAAAGGCAGCAGACGAGAGTGCGGCTGGGGGTCCCCACTTGGCCGTGAGTCAATGAAAGGGGGCTTGCTCTGGCTGATAGGGATCGATATGCTAGGAGGGCTGCCATCGATTGGCAGCCGCGTGAAATCCTGGGGCTGGCATGTGTTTTCGATCCACATGTTCATCTGCCTGTGGTCTGGTAGCTTCGCATTATCAGTGAGGATCCCACAGTGGGACCAGCTGCTTATGCTGCCCTAGGAAAGGAGAAAAGCAGCAGCAGAGCATGTGAAACCAGGCGCACGTTTCAGCCCAGCACCCCCTAATTGCGAGCGCTCGGAAGGTTGAGAGGGGGAGTTTGTCACCGCGGGTTGACAGCAGTCGCAAGGACACCACGATACGACCTGCCATGTCAAAGTCACGTCTCCTGCTGATAATAAAGGCCAGTTTCTGTGTGCTCAGAAGCCTCGGGTTTTGTGCTTGAGCACACAAGAGATGCTCAGCGGAGCTCTCCGTGTCGGGCAGCTGTAGCTCGCATATTGATCCCGCTCCTTCAGGCGGCGATAGGATTCCTGCGGGGCAGCGGCACATTGGAGTCACCGCCTCGGTGCGCAGCTCGGCGGGGCCGGCTCCGTGCTCACCCCCTGCAGATGTCTGCAGCAACAACCCCAGAGTATCGATTCGGACGAGCCCTTTCTCTGCAGCGCTGAGCAGGCAGGGAAGGTTTATTTTTCCCGAGGAAAGGTGGGGAGGTGCGGGAGCAGGCAGGTGAGGGGATGCTCCCAAGGGCTCACGCACAAGTTCTGTGACGAGGCTTGCAGATGTCTCTCTGTGGTTTGAGATGCAAAAGCACAAGCTCAGGTGTGGTTTTTTTTCAATCATTTTTTAAACCCCGACTTAGCTCCTGTCTCGGCTAGGCTGTGGAAATCGCCCGGCATTAATTCATGCCGAGGAGGAGCTGCTGTCACTGGGGCGATGCAGGAGCGCAGGTGAAGTGACTTTGCTGCAATTTGCAGTTCAAATGGGAAGTTGCCACGATATAAATCTATTTCCAATCCAATTTAGATAAGACACCCCTCTGTCCAAACACGCCTTATAACTCCGCGAGTACCACGCCACAGAGCACCATAATTACCCCTGGAGGAATAAACAGGAACGGACACACTTTGCTCTGTTGAAAGTGCAATTAAAGCCCTTGTGAAGCTGACTCTGAGACAGAGGCGCCTTATTCCCTCACTGCCGCGCGTGGGATTTATACCCCGAGCTTCCATTAGCGCTAATGGCAGCTCCAGCCGCCGTGCCCCGATGCTCTGCGGGTTCCGAGCAGGCACCGGCGGGGTGTGAGCAGCGGGCAGAGGGGCTGCCGAGCCCCCCGGCACCTCGCAGCGAGCCCCCGGGGAACAGCGCAGGGCGGGCGGCCGAGCGCTGCCGGGATGCTGGATGCGCTTTCCCGACCATCATCCAGGCTGGAAGGACAAACCTCAGGCTCAGGACTCAGCGCTGGTGCTGCTTGGTCCCCGTGGGGAGATTTGGCCCCGTGCCTTGGCTTGTGGTGGAGCGCTGGAAAAAACGTAATGTGATTAAGATGTATCTGTCTCTGAGCTTGAGCGAGGCAGAGGCAGTGACTCACAGCACCTTGCTGGAGCTGTCAAAACACTTGGCTGGCGAGAATAGCCTTCTACACAAAAAGCACTGATTCAATGTGTTTATATTTAAACAAAACACGAAGGGGCTGATTCACTGCGGCATTACTACAGCCTTGGGTGGCTGTAACCCCAGCCAAGCAGCTCCCAGCCATGGAGTGCTGACTTCCAATAGGGGTTAGAGAAAGGTTTGGTCCTCTCCTGCATGGAGAGGGGTCCCTCGAGGGCTGTAGCATCGCTGCTGGTGTTGAGGGCACAGTGCAAGGTCACGGTTCATGCTCTCGCTCCCCTGAACCTGCAGACAGCCACAAAAGATGATGGTGATGAAATGAGCGGTGGTGGGATGGCCGCTGCACTGACCACAAGAACAGACCCTGAACTTCTCTTGAGCAGCCTTGGGATGGGATTTGAGTGCTTCCAGCTCACTGTCTCATCCTGCAGGTGTGCAGGCAGCACCCCTTCCCTCCCGGGGAGCTGAGCCTGAGGACAGCTCCCTGGGAGCTGCTGAGCTGGGGAAGTGGGTGCTCCACTCTGCAGCTCTGCCGATTTGGAGCTGCTGGGATTTGCTGACAGATGGTGTGGTGTTGAGCGGCTTGGGGCTACTTTGCTCTTCAAGTGGTCTTTCATTCAAAACTGAGAACATATTTCAAGCCAAACTTACAGCCTAGAGATGCTCTTGGTGTTTGCTTGCTCGTTGTTTCCCTTCCTTGCTCCAAAACACAGTTATGGGTGTTGGGGTGAGAAGGTCATGACAACTTTGCTGCTTTAGAAATTGAAATTCAGCCAACCAAGGGTATGTTCCAGGCTGGTGCTGAACCTAACCCCAGAAAGGAGATGCCAGTTGGGTGCTCAGTGAACCCACTGCCAGGATGATCATGTGTGTCCCTCAGCAAAATACAATTTTTCTGTCTGCTCCTGCCAGCCAGCACCAGCCTCCAGCCTGTGTAGCCCAGAGCCTTCCTTCCCTCCCAGCCACAGGCTGCCAGTGCTCCTTCCCTTGTCCCAGCTCCCTGATGTCTCCTGCACCACCTGTGCTCGGGGGATGCTGAATTTCACAGTCACCCTCCATCTCTGGGGTAGGGAGTGGAATTTCCATGACCTGGAGCAGCAAGAGAGAGTTTTGCATGGAGCTGGGGGAGCTACAGAACTGAGCTGAGATGCTCTGAGTGCTGTGGTTGTCTGTGTTGTCCCTGCACTAAAGATTATTTTCTGCTTCCAATGTACACAGGCAGTGATAGGGTTGTGCTTCCAGCCTTTTCCATGAAAAACACTAGGAAGTGTGTTTTAGCATGTAGAGGTTTGGTTTGGAGGAAGGTACCTACCTGTGTGCTGGTTTTGGCTCCTTTCCCAGCCCTGACAGCCTGGGTGGCTGTGGGAATGCCACTTCACCTGTCCGTGTACCTTTGTCTTCCTCAGAGCAGTGTGAGGAGAACTGTAATGTTCTCCCATCCCATGGCACTGGGAGATAAATGCATTTGTTGTTGTGCTCAGATAACACAGCACAGTGGGATTTCCACCTGGGAGAACATGATATCTGAGTAATTAAATATCCAGGCTGCCCAGGCTCTGGTGTAACTCAAATATGGAATGAAACCTGCAAGCAGAGAAGGTTGCTGCACATGAATTTAAACCTGTGATTTAAACTCAATGCAAGTGGAGTGGTGAAGACCACAGCCTTGCCCTTGCCCTTGAGAGCTGAGGTGGGTGCTGGGAGCATCTCTGATGTGTGTGGTGGTCCAGGGCAACTAGAACCCTGACAACCTTGGCACTGTAAGAGCAATAGTCCCTCTCCTGGAGAAATGCTGCTCTGAAGTGCAATCCATGTCCCGATGAGTCCCACAGCAGGGCTGAGGGGTCTTGGCTTCAAATGGGGTGTCATCCCTTTAATGAAGGATTCTGCAGCTCTGTACAGAAAACAGTCAATTTTCTGTGCAGATCTGCAGAATCCTTCATGAAAAACCTCCATCCTCACAGACTTAAAATTCAGTGAAAAAATGCAAGAATCCTCTCATAGAAGGGATTTCTTCTTCAGCCCTTTCTTGTGGGTTTTTGATGTAGAAGAAGGAAGGGAGAACACATTGCTCCTTTCTGCTAGTGAAGAAGAGATGCTGTCAGTCCCTGGAATGGTTGTGTGGGTATTTCATCACCCCCAGCAGCAAATAAGGTTCCAGGAGCCCCTCATGCTCCATGGAAGGATCCTTCCAGCAACATGAAGTCTGTGTGAAGTCTGTGTTCTGGCTGTGCAGTACATTATTGCTTTTCTATTGTGTCAGGGAACCAAATCCTTTATTTCTCCAGAAAATCTAACTTTCAAATGCTCCCATAAGGAGATCCCAATTTGGGGAAGAAAATAGTTTCTATATTCTGTGCAGTGTCTCTGGATACTTTCTTCCCCTGGATTGCCTTTAGACATCAGTATAATAAAGCTTTGGGTTTTTTTTTGGTTTTTTTTTTTTTTTTTTTTTTTTTAAGTACATTGAAAAGCAAATAACAGAAATTTCTTATAAAAGGGGTGGTCTGGAAGGAGGTTGTGGCTCCTTGTGTCTTCTGGTGAATAGCCAAGCAAAGCCCAGTCCTGGCTCTCACAGGGACCCAGTGCTCACCAGGCTGAGTACCGCGGAATTATGGACCTCATTAAGGTGCCAAATTAGCACCATGTCACCTTTCCAGGGAGATCAGCAAGCTCAGATCAGGCAGCCAGGCCTGGCTGCAAGTGCCCAGAGTGCCCTGGTCCTCTGCAGGGCTCAGCTCTGGAGGAGCAGATGTCCCTATGGCTCTTGTCACAGGACAAAAACCAAATAATTCCTTTTCTTATCCTAAATGTTGAACCTCCATCCTCTGTGCCCTGAAAAACAAGCCACCCAGAGAACAAACCAGCTCCATCACCCTCCCTTTGAACTGGGGCTCTTCTGAGACAACACTACCATCTAGTGAATGCTCTCTGCATTGGTTTTCCAGGGAATCCACGGAGCTCCGGGCATGATGAGTGGAAATCAAAACCCAATCCTCGGCCCACATACCCCACAGCAGGGCACAGGGTCCTGCACACAGGTGGCCCCATCCTGGTCCCTCCTGCAGTGCACGGTGACATTCCCACCTAGGGCATCTCCTGCCTGCTTTGTGAGGCTGTGGCTGGCCCCAACACCCCACTCAGCTGTAGGACCAGGAGATCTGCCTGTGCCCGCTGCTGTGGTGGTCACTCCAGGGAGGACAGAGGGGCTGGCTGTGCTGGCAAGCCTCGGGGTGGCTGTTTCAGAGACAGCTTCACATTTGCCAGCCTCTCAACTGTTCTGCCAGCAGATTGAGGGCTGCAGGCTGAGGCTGAGTGTTGCCCTGGCTGCACTCCCCCTCTGGATCCCTCCTTGCCCTGCAGCCACCCTGGCCAATACTGACTTTCTTTTTCCTCTTTTGTGCAGAGCTGATCTGATCGGGGCCTACCAAAGACATTAACGACGTCGAAAGTAGCTTACTTTAAGAGAAAATATGCAGAAGAAGAACATTTACATCAGGATTACCATGAGTATTGTCCAAAAGTGAGTATCTCTCTCGCTCCAGACCCCGCCCTCTCCCTAATTTCATTCCTTGATGCTAAGAGCCATCCATTTACTCCCCAGCACCTGATACTACCGGAGGACCGGACTTGTATCCTAAAACTGTCTCTCCAGAAACTCCGCTTCCTGGACGACCCCGAGGCCTATCTCCGTAGGTCTGTATTAATTAACAATCTGTTGAGGAAGATTCACCTAGAGACAGAGAGGGAGAGCTATGAATACTTTAAGGAGGCTCCGTGCTATAGGACTGCCTACTCTGACGCACGAAAACGGCTGAAGCTGATGGTGCAGGAGTGCTGTTCCCAGTCGCTCTATTATGAAGAGCTGCACTCGTATCGCATCGTGCCTTACTCTGCAGAGAACGCCGTCTACGGGATGGGCTACACGGGCAGCCACCTGGAGCAAAATTCTCAGTTGCTTATTTATAAAATGAATTAAAAGTAGCTGTTAGACCCACTGATGTTTGTTTCTGAATGCTTGGACTGCTTGTTGAGGTGTTGAGATGAGGCACTAATTGCAGATGTGTTTGCAATGGAGGCGGAGGCGCAGGGAGCTGAGTGGAAGGTGCTTTGGAAAATGCTCTGCAGCCCCCACTGTTAACCCCCGGTGTGAAGCACCTTGCTGTACACACAGAGAGGTGCAATACAGAGGTCCTAAACCTGCAGAGACTGCGTGCAAGGCCGTTTGTAGAAACAAAGCTGCACTTAAAGTTACCTGTGTGTAGATACGGATGCTCCAAATCCCTTTTGCAGTTAAATTACGCCAGCCCCAGTGCAAGGGGAGCCCCCGAAGCAGTGGAGTAGTCTAACAGTGAGGAGTAAAACACAAGTTTTCTGCTGTAAAAGTATAGACAGAAAGTTTCTTCGAGAATTGCTTTGACCATGAAGGAGTCAGTGCCAAAGGAATCAGTCTTTAGCTTAGGATTTTCGGAGACTGAACTCGCTTGCTACTTACAGACACTCTATACTGAGATTTGCAAGGGTTTGTGGGTTGGTTTTTTAAAAAAATTAATTGCATTCACTTTTTACTTATATTATCTCTTAGCTGGTATCTACTTTGCTATTTTAATACAAACCAGAATGACTCACAGGAAAGATTGTTTCTTCAGCCCATCATCAGTGTTCCCTTAACTTCATTTGCCTCTTTCCCTAGCTGTTTCCCTGAATACTTCTTTGCATGCTAATTTGCTGTTTGGCCCGAGGTTCACACTGGTGCTAGGGAATAGACAGCAATTTCTTTTTATGTGGACTATAAAAGGCAGAAAAACAATGATAACTCTCATGGATAGAGAATGAATGTATCTGACAGATGATGGTAAGACCTCAGAGGCTCTCCTGATGAAACGGCTCAGCATTAATAGTAATGTTTCAGGTTAAGTAAAATGTCTAATTTCAATCTGGGAATTAACTTTAAAATATGTAAATATATATATTTCACAAGCTATGGCATGTGGGATGTTCAGCAAATGGAATGACTACAAGTGGAAAGTTTCATAGCTGCCAAAGCTACGTCACGAAAATACCAAAGAGTAACATTAGGGAAAAGATGATGCTCCAGCAATGGGGTCAGAAGCAGAGATTGCACTATAATTTGGAGGAATGTGATTAACAAGCCTGTAAATTAGCTGTTAGGGACCTGCATCCCAGAACTGCTGAACAAACACACGAGATGGTTCAAAGCCTGTCAAAGTCCTGCAGGTCTGTTGGCTTTGCCTCGCTGGCTATCACCACTTTAAAGCTTTAAAACAAAGTAAATAATAGCGCACACTCGGCTGGAGGCAGATATATATATATACATATATACATAGATATACATATATATCTAAGAACATAATTTTTTATTTGTTTTGAAAGGCTTTGCTCTTGCAGATGTGGCTGATGCTATTTCTGAAGCATTCTATAGTGTGAACAAATACTGTGGCTTGCCAGGAATGTGCTTTTTGTGTCAGATTCCTCGTCACCCTGCTCAGAGCGCCCTGGTCATGTGCCTCTCACATATCGTCACAGCTCCCAGGCACGGGTTAGTGCTGGAGAAAAGGCAGAAAAACAAAAGCAAAAAGGTGTGAAGAACAAAGTTAACTCTGGTGTCAGTAGTTAGAAGACAGTAGAGGTTTAGGAGACAGAAGGAAGCGGTAAAAACCAGATTTTTTTTTTTAATTAAAAAAAATTAATGTCAGCAGTGTAATTCAAAACAAGGATAACCTGCAAACTGGAGAATATAAACATCTCAGATACTGTGGGAAGGCTGAAAAAACAGGGCAGTGCTGTTTGGGAGGTGCTGTTAGTCATGATGACTGTTCAGATCTCTGTTTTTGCTTTGAGACAAGTCATATTTACTTATCTCTTAGAAAAGGGTGTCTTTCAATCCTTAGCCAGTGCAGTTCAGCCTCAGAGCTCCCTGGCTGTGCATGGTTTGATTCCTGCTGTCCCTGGGCTTGCACCAGCCCAAAACCATGCAGCTGGTCCAGTTGCATGATTTGAGAAATGGTTTCAGTGTAGTTTGAGAAATTTCCAGTGGAAAAGGGGCTGGTAGAGGCCAGGCTGCTGAGCAGGTCTGCAGGACAGCCCCAGTGTGAGCAGTAAGAGCTGGCAGAGAAGCCCATTTGATGTTGTCAGAGGTGCCATTATCCCTCAGGAGCCCTCTGGCCTCTGCGGGAACGCCCCGAGCCACCCCAGGGCTGGGGGAATGGTAAAGGAAAATTGCTCCTGTCTTCTGATTTTTCACACCATGTAATTTTCCACTCTGAAGTGGTTTGATTTATGCTTTTTTTTCCCCCCTCTTCGTGTCGGTTTTCATCTGATTTCATAACGATCTAGCATGTACAGGAAATGCTTAAATGCTTCTTTTCTCTCGCTGACTGACTTTTTATATTCATAGGATGGTTCTGGCTTGAATAAACAAATCTTTTAACTTAAAATTAGAAATGTTTCAGTGAAATGAAAAAGCTCAGTAGGATCAAAGTCTTTAACCTCACCTGAACAAAAAACATTGGCCCTGTCAGATTCACCTTTGAAGAGGTTCTTTGACTGCTGAAAGAGGAAGATACTTTCTTGCCTGTTGAAAGCTTCTCTGTGAAGGAATTGTGATAACTGAACAGATATAACAGACAAAAATCTGCATCAGGTCACAAAACTCCTTGGGCTACCTAGGAAAGAGGATGATAATTTAGTAATGTTTTTCTCATGTGCTGTTTTCTTGAAGAAAACACATTGTCTCTTTTTTTAAATTTTCACTTGCTCCAGGAGTTGTTAAAATGGATTATTTCTTTCTAGAGAACAAATTGAGTTTTTTATGGTTGACTTTTTGATATGGAATTGAATCAAAGGTTCACTATTCTATGTGCTTTAAGTCTGCTTCGGCTTTTACTGCTTCTGCTTTGCCCAGCATTGGTGCTGCTGAAAAGTGGGTCTGAAAATTTTGATTTGAGTGCTTAAAAATAGTTTATGGGGTGATAAAGAAGTACAAATGTGCAATAACATTGCAAGTGACTCCCGAAATATTTGACACCTTTTGAATTATGTACTTATATTGATTTTAACATTTAGTTGCCAAGCTACTGGGTACCAGCATTTTAACACAGCTACATACAGTGATTTTTCTTTTTTGGGTTTGTAGCTACAGTTCAGCTCTTCTGGCTTCTGATGTGAGAATCTGTCTGTAGGTGGTCAACTTTCACTGAGATAGATTTTTATATATATATATGTTCTATTATGACTGCATTAGGAACTCCTACATATGGGCTATGTTTGCACTGGATGTAAAGAAAGTCCTTGCTTCCCTTTGACTCAGTTGCCTTGGAGATAGAATATTCATCAGAGGGAATATAGATGAGCTGGGTAACCAGGACAGACTTGGTGAGCAGAGCTGATCATTTTGAAAATGACTGGCTTAGGACAATTCATTTTCACCTGGGAACAGCAGCACACTTGGCTGTAATTAGTGTTTCCATGAGTTGAGTTTTCTTTGTGCTGCTTTTCTGGCTGGACATGCTGGTGAAGGGTGCACGGGGCACCTTTGTGGGGGCCACAGTGTGGGTGTGGATGGGGTCTGGTGCAGAACCCCAACACTGAGTTTGAGCAACCTGCTCTAGTGCAGGTGTGTCCCCACCCATGGCAGGAGGGTTGGAACCAGACGGTCTTCAAGGTCTCTTCCAACTCGAACCATTCAATGATTCCATGATTCTGTGACATTAGGGCCCTGATCCTGTAAATGCTTGGGTTATCACCCCATTTCCTCACTCAGACCCTGTCACTGGAGCCCCAGAGGCTCCTTGTGTGCTTGATGCTCAGCATGTGCATGAGCTTGAGGCTGGGGCTGCAGATCCCCCTCAGTCGCCGCCTTATCGGTGATGGTGAGCCCCAGGCTGCCACTTCAGCTCTTCAATACATCTCTCTTGCACTGTAAATTGAACTTCTGTTTTCCAATGAATGTGTGGAGTATATGGACTATTGTGCCTTAAAGTCCCATCCTCGTACGAGCCTCTGTAAATGTCCTGTAAATCCGCAAACCGTCTATCGCTGGTATCTCTGTGCACTCCCTACAGATCTGATTTGGTACGTGGCAGGACCTTGGGAAACCCAACCCTGACCTCAGTTTGCCATGGACACGAGAGGGGATTTGCCAATTCCCTCTTTTCTTTTTTCAGATTGCTTTCCTCTCCGACATTCATGAAATTCTGTTTGTCTGGTTCCTGCCATAGTTGGGCTCTGGGCCACCTGCAGTGCCAGGAGCTCCTCGCAGGAACTCTGGAAGTTGTAAAAAAGTTGTCTCCAGATTTTAAAGATCACCTGTAGAACACTCCCAGGAGGGAATCACAGCTGCATATGACAACTGTGGCAGGTGTTGTCAAGTATATCATCATATATTTGACATGATTGACAAAGCAGAGAAGGGAACACCTATTTCTGTTGAAATGCATGAGCCTGCATTATGTTAAATACATGGTGATTATACACCAAATAATTGGAATAATACCTACTGGTTCTGTAACAAAAAAAAAAAAAAACTTTTAATGTTTAAAATTACCTGGGACCTGACTGAAGGTTTTTATGAAATTGTTTTCTAAAGTGAATAGTAGAAAAAATGTATATGTATTTTAAATATACGTATGATGTGCATGTTATTAATAAAGATCTATTTCTATTGAACCAGATGGTTGTTGATTGTATGTTGTTTGATTTACAAGATAACATGTAATGTTTCTAAAGAAAAGTTTCTAACTCCACCAATCCCCTAAAAAACTTATAACCACAGATTATTTGAAGGACTTGGATCAGAGAGCGAACCTGGGGTAACTCCTCTGTCATTCACTTGTTCCATTCCCTGATCCCATTGTTTGCATCCCAACTTGCTTCTGGACTTGCAAGACCCTTCTTCTTTTCCTTGTTTATGTATTTTATTTCCAAATCTGTAAGTAACCATTTTCCTAATGATGTTCTGCAGGGCATGTTCCAGATGCTGCCAAAGGGTCAAAGTTGAAATAGTTAGCTTTTAGAGCTTTTCAGAAAAATGGGATTTTTTTACTAAAAATCCTGATTATGACAAAAAGATCACTATGTTCCTTACCCTCAGGAGTTTTCTTTAGGATTCTTTTCTTGAAGAAGCTGAAGTGAAACACTGAATATGTTGAAAAGATACTGAAAAGGAAAAATATTTACAAAAGATCACAAGGAAATATCTCCCAGGGCCAAGTGTTTCACCTCCCATGTGCAGCCAGGACCTGGGTACCACCTGGGCTGCAGGTCCAAGTTTTGTAAAGACTGAACATCCCAACCAGGTGCCAAAGGGTCACAGCAGCAGATCAGTCACCTCCTCTGAAGCTGTTGCATCAGGAGCCAGCAGCTGGATGTTTCAACCTGAGTACAGCTCTGAAACCACTGACCCCGAGCCCCTGATGTGCCTCATGTGAATGTGGTGTTGGCAGGATTAGCAGCCACCCCTCAGATCCTGGGGTGTTCCTTATCAGACACAGTCCTTTACCTGTCTCTGAACACTCTTCTTTTTAACAAAAAAGCAATACCTAGACCTTGGCCTGGGGATGTGCATGACCTCGAGGAATGGGCTTGCTGCATGTCTGCAGTTTTAACCTGCCTTTTTTTCCCCCCCATATTTTGTGTGAATGACCAAGCGTCTCTGGCATAGAGAAATATATTCAAATGCCCAAAATTCCTCCTGGATGCAGGCACAGAGTTTGTGGTGATTGGGAGTGGGGCTGCAGCCCAGCCTGATCCCCAGTGGGCCCAGCTGTGAGCAGCAGGTGAGCAGCACTGACAGCAATGAGCCACAGAGTGCCCAGGGGCACTGAGCATCCCAAAGGGAGCAGAGGGCACACAGGTGCACTGCATGAACATGGGGTATAAAAGGTTGGGCTAAAGAACAAGAAAGAGCAGGTGCTTGCAGCCTCCTGAAGTGGCGTGATGCTGCTCTGTATGGGTTGAAGCTTTCTGAAATTATATGATGATTCTCTGTGTATTGTGGCCATCTCAGCTGTGACATGTGCTGTGAGACCTGGATCCTTGCTGGGAGCTGCCACCTCTGAGGATTCAGCACACAGGTAAGATATGCTGAGGCTTCCTTGGCCCAGTTGTGGGGAGAACTGCCTTAGTGTGGAAACAAAAGGCATTGGAGCAGCTTCCCCCCTCCCAGAGCAGAGGCACTGGGTTGTCCAATGCAGGCAAACACTTTCCCACTATGGATCTTTTCAAGATCATGTGGATCATCCTGCCACAAAGCAAATTCAGCTGCAGATTTAAGGTGGGCTCCTCTATGCCAATTCCTCTGCTGTTTAAGGAGGTGATGAAAATACCATGGCCAGACCATTGTGGTTTTATTCTGCACTCAGCTATATTTTCTTTTTAGCTCTTTACAGCCACTTTGAATTGAAGTAGCTGCTGGGCTGCCCTACCCTGGCACTGCCAGCCCAGATCCATGAAGCAGCTGGCACAGGACCCAGGGAAGCCAGCTGAGAGCTGTAATTCATCATTGCATCCCAGCCTCGGTGCATTGCAGGGCTTAATTAATTCAGACCCAGGGATAAACAGTGCTGATGGCCAAACCAGGTGATGCTTTGAGCTTTGCAGAGCCTTGCAGGCCCCCAGCTCCCCTAGTCCAGTGGGAGGCTCTGCTCTGCCTTGCTGCCTGCAGGCTGATGTGCCACTGATGAGAAACTGTCCCCACTTAGGCTGGGTGGTGCCAAATTGGAGCTTACTGGTTGAAGGAGTCTTTTTTTGTGACACAAACTGCTCAGTGAAAATCAATGCCAATTTGCTGCAAGGAAGTTTGTGTCTAACATCTGCTGTTGGGGAGAGGAAGGCTGGCTGGAAAGGAAAAGGTCTTTTTCCCTGTAAGGTGCCAGGATCCCCTGTTCATAGTAGGGAAGCTGTAATTGCTGTCCTGTGTTTAAGGCTCAGGGCCATGCAGATATTTCAGGTATGCTGACACCATCCCATTACAGCGTTCCCTGGGTCCTGTGCCAGCTGCTCCATGAATTTAGGCTGGCAGTGTCAGGGTAGGGCAGCCCAGCACAGTCTGGGCACCTGACAAGCCCACAGCCCTTGCTGGGATGCTGGGAAGAGCCACAGGAGTTTATTAATCTGTCCCCAATGGGATCATCAATCCCATACACAGAAAGCATTCCAAAAGGCTGGATGCACCATGAGCCCAGACTGGGTCTCTCCCAGAGCTCTCTAGTGAAGGCAAAGTTGGGATATTGAAGTGGTGTTATCCAGGGAAATATTGGGGGTTTGTAGGTAGATGGAATTGCAGGGTGGGACTCTGTGAATGCACCCAGTGGGACAGTGTCATAAGCTCCTGCACTGTGTTTGCAGGCATCAATGCAGGTCCTGCATGGCCAGGTGTAGAGTGTGATATCCCATAAAGATATCCCACCTTTTGATAATGTAATTGGAGTGCTGTTCCTGATGATCCCAATGAGGTGTGTGGGAATCCAGGGCTTCCCTCTGGCTGTCCTGGCAGGTCTGGGACCCTGGCAGGGGTCAGGAACCCCCCTGGACAGAGCCCCCAGAGACACTGTCTGTGATCTCTGTCCATGGAAAAGAGTTTTCAATCTTACAGGATGAATTACAAGCTCTGAGTGTTTGATATAAGTAATAATTAAGTGTGGCACGGGTGCAAAAGTAAAATTTTAGGTTTCTAGATTAGGGGTTCAGAGGGGACAAGATGGAGGAAATTGGGTGTGTCTTGTCCTTTTTCTCCTTCTTCATGCCCTCCATGTTTCACTGTGGTGTTGGCATTTTTCTGTTGGTTCAGGCTGGGGACACACTGTTCAATGTAGGTGACAGATATTGGCACGTTATTGTAAATCCAGCACAGGTAGTTTCTGGTATTTAATGTTTGTACCATCCCACTGAGGGCAGAGCCCCACACGCTGCCCTGCAGGACAGAGCTGCGGCAGGGCAGCAGAACATGTTAGAGATAAACAGAATAAACAACCTTGGAACCAGCACAGACCAATTATGGCTTCTGCTTTGGCAGCGGGGCAGAAAGACAGAGACTTTTTACAATCTGGGAATCACCAATACCCACAGATTCTGACAGAGGTGGGTCACTGGCTCACAGCATTAGTGTAAATAGCTTTTTTTCTGCAAAATTTTGTGCCCGAGGCTAATGGGTATCTCAGTACCCTTTAGGAGCACAGGTATATCTGCAAATAGCTGCGGTGAAGAAAAGTCTGCCCTGGAGGAGAGCCAGAGATTGTGTCTGGCTGCTGCTCAGACAGGTGCAGAATGCAGGGGCTGCTTTGGGAGAACCTGAATTAGGACAAAAATCCTGGGCTGGAAGTTCTCAATTCCCAAAAGTCTTGCACTTGCTCCCAAGGAGTTACTCTTCTCCTGGGATTGTTTTAGCTGGCAGTTTGTGTTCTGGGAGATGGGCCTGAGTGAAGACATGACCAGGGGCTGATGGACTGGCTCAGAGCTGTCTGCTCTGGTTCCACGTGGGATAACAAAAATCAGTGGAGGAAGGGAGACTTCTCACGAGGCTGAAAAAGCCCACATGGATCTTGCATTTGCAGTTCTCAAGGCTGGCATCGCCTGGAAAGCGAGGGCAAGCTGCAGAGAGCACGGGGCAATAGTAAGTGAAATTCTGGTACCCTGGGGACTGAGCCTGCCCTCCAGGACACCTTGTCCCTTCCTCCCCGGGCAGGTCGCTGTTCCCCCGGCGGTGCAGGGCAGGTTTTGTGCCTGAAGATGGCACTGCTGCATTGAAGGATTGCTGGAAAATCGCTGGCGTGGGCAGAGCAGGGGAGCTCAGGGGAGGGTGCAGTGATGGGTGCTGGATGGGTCAGGGCTCGAAGGACCCTGCTGCCCACTGACAGAACACCCCCAAACAAGGCTCTCTACCTCTTTGCAACATCATCCTGAGTTTTTCCTTAGCTTTTGGCCCCAGAGAGTGTCCAAATCTTGAGAGTTTGGTGTAAACTCTCTCCTCCCTTAAGAAGCTGTAATGTGTGTTGTTCGCTGAGGTCTGCTGTGAGCAGGACAAAATGCAAGGAGCTGCTCTTATTCACAAGGGGCAATTCCCTTCTTGCTCTGGTGGTTAGAAGATGGATGGGAATGTGACCCAGGCTCTGCCCAGGGGCTCACATCAAGTAAAAGAGCAGTGTCCAGAGCCAAAGGTGTGAATGAAGTTGACTTTTCTGGGCTCCTGCTCTCCCTCCCCTTCACTTCTTGAAGGACCTGAAGAAACAGCAAGTGATCCCTAAATTGTGCAGGTAGGAATTAGACCTTGCAGTAAGGGAATGATGACCTTCTCTGACCCCTGGATGACCAAGATGTCCCAGATCTGTTGTCTGACCAGCAGCTTTGGCTCTGTTTCATTACAAGGGTGATGAGAGGGCAACTGCAGTCAGGGTGACTTGGCTGTCATGTCTTGAGCTGGGTCTGGATTTGCAGTTTTCTGTGCATTGGCACCTCCAAATGCCACCAAGAGAGAGAAGAATTCTTTACTCGTTATGATAACTCTGTCTCTATCCACAGACACAAGAAACGCCTGTGTGTCTTTCTCTTCACCACTGGAGGGCTGCATTTACCTGCAGACTCTATCGAGGTTACACTAAACCCAGAGCACCTGTCACTGCCAGAGATGTGTTGTGCCAGCGTAATTGGGGAAGGCTGAAAAGCAGAAACTG